CCCAAGGAGCCACCAGGGCTGTCAGCGGGCACAAGGACACACCCAGACAGTGGCCACAGGGACACACCTGGACAGCTGTGACAGAGGCCACCAGGACACAGCTGTGACAGCGGCCACCAGGGCACAACCGGACAACTGACAGTGGCCATGGGGACACAGCTGTGACAGTGGCCACCAGGGCACAACCGGACAGCTGTGACAGCGGCCACAGGGATATAGCTGTGACAGTGGCCGGGACACACCTGGACAGCTGTGACAGCAACCACAGGGATATAGCTGTGACAGTGGCCGGGACACACCTGGACAGCTGTGACAGTGGCCACCAGGGCACAACCAGACAGTTGTGACAGCAGCCACTGGGACACAGCTGTGACAGCAGCCACAGGAACACAACTGTGACAGTGGCCATAGGGACACAGCTGTGACAGCAGCCACCAGGATACACCTGGACAGCTGTGACAGCGGCCACTGGGGCACAACCGGACAGCTGTGACAGTGGCCATCGGCCCCTGGTGAGCACAGGACTCCTGGGATGGCCCCCAAGGTCTGTGAAGGGGCTCTTGGGGTGGGGACCCGCCTGTCCCCACCACGGATGGTGCTGCCACCTCCCAGCGGACCTGGCTGCTCCCTCTGGGCTCCTCGGGTGCCGTTTCCCCTCCCTCAGCTCTGACCCTGATTTTGGAACCCATCTGTGTCCCCCCCGGTGGCTCAGCTGGAGGGAGAGGGGACAGGACAGATGGAGGTGGCACTGGGGGGACACGGAGGTGCCCAGGGCGCTCCGAGCACGGAGCAGGAGCTCTGGGGGCAGAGCAGGGAATTGGGGTGCCAGGTGGGATAATGAAGCTGTGGGGTCGGCAGGGACCCCTCTGGAGGGTGGGGACGGTGCTGAGGAGGGGTCTGGGGACAGAGGTGTCACCTGCTGTCACCCTCCAAAAATCCCTTCCAGCGGCTCTCCAGCCCCTTCCAGCGGTTCAGATTTCCTGTAGCAAATCCCCCCTTTTCTTTATCATCCCGGAGAGTGGGAAAGAAGCA